GGGAAATACATAATTATACAAATCGTAACTCAATCACAGTCAGGAAAGAAACCCGGACAACCATGTCGTACTTCTGTTGAAATACATTTTGTAGCAGTGCGTCATGTCAGAATATTGTTTAAAATAAAATAGTCAATCCCAGCCAAATCTAGGTCAAAGGGTCAGATTGCGTACATATAATTATAGATAGTTAAAACAAAAAGTATTTGAACTTTTGACGGTTGTTCAACATCTATGCACGGTTACTAAACTAGTAACCGTGATCTATGAAAACCAGAAAATTGTTAGTAGTCCGAATTTTTGCACAGTCGAAAATAAAGCGGAAATTCAACAAGCGGTCGCAAAAGAGAGTGATTGAAAAGCGGAGGCGGGCGAGAGGTTGGGCGAAATGAGTTCTGTACTTGTTCTGATGCTGATGCCACATTGTCGCCATAATGAGGCCACAATGAAGCGAAGTGATAACCGCCTAACTTTTTAATGTCGCGACATTGATGCGATGCTGAAGCCATAACAATGCCATAATGATGCGATGCTGAAGCGAAGGTGAAGCTGAAGTGAAGCCAAAGCTTTCGCGAGAACTGTACTGTATTATAGTCATTTGTCACTCACTAATCACATTACTTTGTTAAAAAGTACCATCACATGATTGTTTTCACCGGATACATAATATATATAATAGCATATTATGCTAATCAAAGCTGTGATATTTACACAGGGTCCATAGCACCAAGAGCCAAATGATTTCCAAGACTTTTCCAGACCTTTTCCCAAACTTTTTGCATTTTCCCCAAGACAATTTGACCCTTAATTCAGGCCAACATCATCACAAAAGCTCATCAAAGTTTAAAATAGCAGGTCATATGTGTACAAAAACAATAAATTATTTACAAGTTCATAGCCATGAAGACTTACTTTCAGGGTTCAAACTCTGACCAACGGGCCTTTCTAAAATGAATTAATAACTATTTTTCCTGTAATTTAAAGACAACTCAAAGACTTTCCAGACCTCAAAAAATCCAAAGACTTTCAAAGGATTTTCCCAATGCTATGGACCCTGTTACATGTCACTTCTATCAATGATATGCACTATACAGGATTAAGTATCAGCTGACATGAATCAAACAAGTTTGTTCAAAACCAATAAATTTCCCCAAAATGCCTACCTCGGTACTTTTTGACCAGTTTTGTTGAAAAAACACAAAGATTTGATCAGATATGGGTTAACTTACTACAGTTTTTGTATTTACTTTTCAAGGATTCTTGTTCAGAATTTCAGGAGTTTCAGTAACAGTTTTTGGAGGTATTGAAGTGAACAAACAAACTTTTTAGTAATGCCAAAAGTATCAAAGACTTGCAAATTAGTTTGGAATATGACCTTACCTGCTCTTCCCTGTTCGGTGCTGCTTGCATTGCTCTCTGTTTTATGAATGGGAATATGAGGATTCACGTCCAATGCTGAAATCTCTTTCGGTTCCAAAGTCTCATCTTCGCTGGGCTGGAAAACTGGGAACTTCCAATGTTCAAGAACACCACAACATTTGGGCTCCAAATTTTGAAAGAAGTCATAGTTTGCAGACTACAAATTGAGAGAGAAAAATGTTGTATTACAACAGCAATTTGCACAAAAGCAAAATGTATGAATTATTTCAGTTGACCAATCAGTGCACTGCTGGCAACTTGAATCAGGATGCAGTCTGGGATGTTAAGATTACAATCAATAATGTTAGAAAACAGTTTGTTACATATGTGATATGATGAATATGTGTGAATTGCAGAAAACAAGTGGGAAATATTTCCAGTGAATCACCAAAAATAAACAAATATGTTTTGAATGTCAAACTTACTCTAACAAAATTGTAACAGACTAACATTCAAAATGGCCGCTAATCAGCATAATTGCTATGGAAATATTTTAAGTCCCATGGAAGCATACTTGGATTTCACAATTATTATTGAATGAAACATTTCTGATAGCAAAAACGTAAAGTGCCTTTAAATTGTCTGCATTTTTTTATTCATATATTGTGTAATTGTAAGTAGCATATGTGCTACTGTATATTATATTTTCATCTAAGAATACAACGTTCAATTTAGCCTATCTCACCTTTATATCAAATGGGTCTTCTCTCTGCGCTTGTTTCCTGCCACAATTACATGTACATGTGGATTTGTTATGACTTGCGTGATGCATGATGGGAGGAGAAGTCTCGTCTTTATTCTGCTCGGCAACGCTTTCTTCTTTTGTACCTGGCACAATGTGCAGCTGAGACAACCATTCAAATATTAAAAAGATATACAGCTGATTGGCAGCCGTTTTGTTTTCATTCACAGTTTCATTTTCAGCACTATTATTATAACATGATAAGTTGACAGATACGTGCAACAAACTTTTTCAACAAATATTCTTGCTTTACTTTCCTGTTCATTTCAAAACAAACAAAACCTCCTAAACTCAGTGTCTATTGTTAAATAGATATTGTTATTGCTTGCTTAAATTTATATTCTGCAGGTAATTTCCTCATTACCCATCCACAATCTCAACTTTAGATGCTATATATACTGGTCAGTGGATTGTATATGTACCTTACAGATTTGCAAAACAGAAATGCAATTTTAAAGTTCCTTGCTTTAATATTCTGCAGTTGACTGCTGAAATTCTGTGAGGTTTTGCAGTAGTGATATTTAGAGGTGGCACAATTAACCTATATTCATTCATGTGCAATTAATCTTGTGTATAATGCCTTATGCATGACCTCTAAGGTCACACATCCTGGTACTTTCTGTGAATAAGCATTATACATGACCCTTAAGGTCACACATCCTGGTACTTTCTCTAAAGGATTTGCTGCACGAAAACAGCAATAAATTCCAATATTGTACCTCAGTTTTTTTTCCATGAACTTCAATAGCAACTACTTGCATTTTTTATAAATATAATCAAGGCCTTTTGTCACATATCCTGGTATCCAGAGTAGAAGAGTGGGGGGTAGGGGCACTGTCTTTAAGATATCAACGAAATAACAGGTTGAAAAAATAAAGTGTCAATAATTTAAGTTGATTTCAGACATTTTTTGAAACTTATGCAAATGTTATGCAAATCAATTGATGATTGGATACTCACAGGATGAATACAGTGGTTTCCTGTGAGACTCACAACTTCACATAATCTTCTATTGTGATGCCAAAATCTTTCACACTCTTCTTGGAGTTGATCAGCGAAATGTTCGTAAGCTGGTCCACGTGCATGCTGGGAAAAAACCCTCATCGCCTGAGAAAGCTTTCAAAAAAGAATTAAAAAAAAAAATATGTACATGATCAACCTTTCTGCCAAAATTTCTCTAAATTTCAAATAAGACAATAATTACAGCACTGCTTGCTTGATAATTTTGTTACAAAAACTTGGAGATAAATTTTGTGTAGATATAAGCATATTTGCAGTGAGAATACACAAATGTATTTTGTTACATATGAGAACATTCTACATTCCCTTGTATTAATTTATGATACATTGATAGCCATTGGGTAAGAATATATTTTTGTACATTTATGGGGCTGTAAATGTTGATGTGTAACATCAAGTCAGAGGGACTCATTTTAAGGCACGTACAAATATCTCCATAACCCCAACAAGTTTGTACATGTATTAACTAATATATGGTACAAATTTTTAATTCTGTTCACTTTTTAAACATTTATTTCTTCATAGTAAATGAAGTAGACTGAACATTGAAGTGATTAGAATGCATGGATGTAAAGTGTACTTTGAAGTATCGGCTCCAGTACTATGGACATAACAGATAAAATGTATCGAGCACATGGTAAGATAAGAAAGTTTTAAAAGATACCTTATTACGATGTACAACATTGGTGTAATGGTCAGGGAGTTTTTCTTGATATGTTCTGCATGCCAGCGGTAACACTTTACCACAACGACTGAAACAAACATAATATGATTTACTTTGATAACAAACACTCCAGTCGTTCAAACAATCCAATATTATGTTAATTTCAATACAAAACATTAGGAATATTATTACAATATAGATAATCTAAATTTTATTATGAAATTATTGTAATATTTGTGAAGACAGTAAGAATAAAGGCCTTACGGTCTTCCCTGCCCTTACGAATTAACACTGCCCATCGCTCCACATCTCAACTGCCCCGTGCTGAACCTACTCTACCTCAATACGTTTACAGGGGTTTGGATATTTTTGGAGGACTTTGGTCCAGTATGTACCAATTTAGAATTTTAGTAATGTACCAGCTCTCCTTGCTTTTGGAACCTGGGTTTTAGTAGTAGTGGTACCAATGGAATAAACTACCCCTATTGTTTTTCCAACACCTGTTTTATGTTTCCTCGCTTCCTCAGACCCACTGGGACCATGTTGCCTAGCGACAGTCAAGGATTTAAACGTAAGAATGAAAACATACATACACTACTTACTACTACTGTCTGAGATCAC